TTTTATCGTCAAGCTTACGCAATATCCGAGTGCGCGTGCTACGTAATGTAATGCAAATGAAACTCGCGTTGCACTTTATTCCAAGCATCGATCAAAGATCCATTACACGGAAGATAATGTGCAATTTGCGTTTTTTTTCTTTTTTTTTTTAGAAAATTACACGTTCGTTACATATCTCTCTATGATTTTACAAGTCATTTGATCGAGATCTCGATGAGTCCCGATCACGCACACGGTCGTACAACATTGTAAGCGACGACGATGCGAGTTCTTTCTCTCTCTCTTTCCGTCTCTTCCTCTCGTATAATTCCAGCGAATTCGTTCTAGATACAGCAAGCTTCCAGATATAGTAGTAGCAGCTTGGCCGCAAGAAGCGCCGCAGCGTCGCGTAATTGTCTTCGGTCGTAAAAGCGCGCAGTCACCTTATTTATAATCCTGTCGATTCATGACACTCTCCGTGTATCCTTCTATCATGCGGATAATTAGTTTTCGCTGAATCGCGGAAAATGCGTGAGAGAAAATTGCGTAAAATGTCGGGATCCTCCGATATAAATCCGCGAACCGTAATTCTTATTAAATAACGCCGGCAAATGAATGACGATATGTAAAATCGATTTACATTCATACGCACTTGCACCTTTTGTTTGAAATTTGAAATAAACATATTATATAGTATCGTTAATCTCTTAGAGAGAGGTCGAGAAACTTTAAAATTAAATATCGAGATGTAGGTAAAAAAACTTGAGAGATCTTGGAGAGATCGATGATGGCTTGATATAAATCAAGAGTAGCTTGTTACGATAAAATCTGAAAAATAAATTGTGCGTGCAATTTTCAATCATGCTTCTGGTGTTGCCAAATATTTCAATTAAAGAATAAGCAGGCATTTGTCAAAATTGCAAATTTAAGAGCCTCTTTCCGAGATTCATATTTTTCCTTTCAATGATTCACCGCTGTTTAACATGTCCGACTTGCCAACGATTCATTAAAGCCGAAGAGCAATTTTTCACTTGTCCGCTCGTTAATATTCTTCCCGTGCCGCAAAATCTCCCGAGTCGTTTACTGTACAACGCGAAAGATATTCGTATCTCGCAAATCCTCTCGGTATTTTTCTTACAGATAATGAGCGCGTGCAAAGAATCGAAATGATCGCGAAGGGATCCTTTAGGATTCGCGAGATCGACGACCTTCTCGTCGTCGAAGGATCGGTAGCAATTTCGCGTAGCTGGCGAAAAAAAGTCTATTGAAAATTGTCGCGCTCGTAAAAAATGCGCATAACGGACACGATGTTACGTGTCGCGAAAGTTAATTCGTTTCAACTTACGTCCACCCCCGTGTGTCTGGCCCCTCGCCCTCTCGTGTCGTCGCGCTGCCAATTTTGCGACGCGCGAATCTAAGACGGTCGCCGACATACGCATTGCCGTAAAAATTAGCGCTTTCATCCACGTGAGACGAGGGCATAAATTTTCCCGCGCGTCGATCGAACTCGTCGAGATTATATCAGTCGAAATCTCCCTGATTATCGGCCGTTTTCGACAGGGGAAAAAAGGTAATTTTTTGCAAAAACATATCTCTCATCCCGTCCCGATCGCGCCAACCGTGCCAATTACCAGGCACCCTGTATACTCGGCGCAACGCAACGCGACGATATCCCGCGGAAGCCGGGCGTAACCGCGTCGAGAATTGGGTGCCGTTGGGTAGCGAGCGCGGCAAACGGGAGATACGACCAGGCTAGAAACGACCAGGAGGAGAGAGGTTGGAAACTGTGATGCCCGCAAAAAGCATGGCAGACAGCGCCGATCGTTTTTGCTCGGCGTCAGCCGCGTTCCTACCGCCGCGTCGTCGTACTTGGTGGTGGTACATCGTTCTACCCTCTCGCTTCCTCCCCCCTTCCCCCCTCCCCCCTCCCCCCGCTCTCCCGCTATAACCATTCCCTATCCTTCCCTCTGTCCTCTTTGTCCGCTCTCCGGCATAAGTTCTCTCCCTTTTTCTCACACTCTCCCGTTTTCGCTCCCTTCCCTCGTCCTCTCAGCTTCCCTATGTCTTTCTCTTCTCGCCGTGACGTTCGGGTTGTCGCGATCCATCTATCTATCCATCTCCCCATCTCCGTTTGCGTGTTTCATTCGCCTCGGGATCGTGCAAACGGATGGGATTACCATCTCCTCCTCCTTCGCGGTTTACGTATCCGGGAAAATGGATTACATTCGTCCCGCTATAAGAGAATTAGCGGCATCCTAGGTCTGCTCTGGAATCGAGACTTGGTCATTAACTTCATCATCGGCTGTCAGGATTGAATCCGGCAGCGAAAATTGAACTGCCGTTATCCGAAAGGCGATATTGGAACAATGCCTCGAGAGAGGCCTCGAAATGATAAAAGTATCTTCGACTTGTAAATATCCGCAAACTTTACTTTTATTATTACAATAATAACTTTGCGCGTGACCAACACTCGTGATTTAGCTAATAATTTAGCGGGCATTCGTGTGTAAAAAAAAAAAAAATGCAAATGTATTGTTCGCTCGATACAATCCTTATTTAGACGAGTTATGAATATTGCGACCTTGCGTTAACTTTCGGGAGCGTCTTGATCGCGCGAATGAAAGATTACACAACTTCTCTCCGATACGTCTCGATCTTGCGCCTTCTCCTCTCTCGCAGCCTTGGATCCCGAGTGTATCCTCCAGCTTCTTCTTAAGAACATCTCCGCGGCCCCTGACAGGCTTGACTAATGGTCATCCTGCATCCGCCCTCCGGCTTTATACTTCTCCGTCTCGCTCTCGCTTCTTTTGCTTCCGCGCGTTCGCGCAGCGCGATGTCTCCGTCTTTCGCTTTCGCAGCACGACGATATCAGCACCGCTTCGAGCGGTTTTAGTTAGCGCTAACGAAAGGGATCAACGAGTTTTCTAACTTGTCCGATGATCCTAGAAACCAGCGATTTATATCAGCCATATATTTTAACAAGGAGAGCGAAAAAGAGATAGAGAGAAAGAACCAAACTTATTACAATTTTATATGTGCACGGAAAAAAAATAAGTGTCAAATCAAAACTTGTATACTTAAACTAACGCGTTCATTGTATATACGCAACAATTTATAATCTTGGAATTTAATAATTTTAAATTTCAACAATATTATAGTCTTATTTTAATATTGTAATTGTCATCTCAAAAATATAAATAGTTATTTAATTCTACTTTAAGAAAATTATAATATTTGATTTAAAAATGTTATTTTCCATCTAACATTGTTTCTTTTCCATTCGAGGAAATTAAATCTTAAATCGTAAGAATATATTTTTCTCGATTGAACTATATAAATAAAATGGCTTCATTCAAGTAAGCAATTATTCAAGCAATTCTATTTTTCTTTAATTAACGCAATATAATCTCATTTCAAGATTTCCATGTTAAAACTAAATAATATTTCAAAACAAGAATGCCCTTTTTTCTGTGTGAACAAGTTATAAGTTGTACTCGATAATCTATTGAAGAAAATATAATTTTTTATTTCTTCAAGTTGTTAGAATGCGGCGAAAAAAATATACACCTTGCCATTATTACGAATATTATGGTTATTAAGATCATTGGAAATTTGTACGAAAAATATTCCAATGGTCTATCTGTTACTAAAAAAAAAAGAAATTTCTCCCCTTCTCTTTTATTGTTAGTTGCATCAGGCAACTCTATATACAATGAGGCGAAAATTTTATGGAGGCTTTCTTTTCTTTGTCGGTCTACAAATTAAGAAATTGAACATTGTTACGACAACTTGTTGCAATTTCTTTATGTAAGGAAAGATCGTTGTAAAATAAAACAATGTGGAATAAAAGCTCGACGGGTCTTTTCTTTTTCTCTACAAAAGAACCATTCAACCGACTGTCGAAAATTCACATTTTTATCTCCACTTAAACAACGCAGCCAACTGTAAAACCGAACCCTTTCCTCAATTGAGAAATACAACCTGCGAGCTGTATAGCCATTTATCGACCTGACTGTATTGTATCTTTCTTTTCTCGAATCTCAGCCCCAGGAAAGCTGCAGGAAAGCTGCAGGATTATAAAAGTTGATACATTCGTATATCTCAGCAAAGAGCAATAATTAATATCGTAAATAATATTATTTTGTCTTTTTAAATTTTGCGAGAATATTGCCACGCTATAAAATTTATCTACGAAAAGGGCAATTTTGCATTCTCCTAATTTACCGTCAAATTTTACGAAATAACATCATACGATTATTTATACACCGATGGAATCCGTTCGTCCTGACTATTCGGCGCTGTACGCGATCGTAAAATTTCACATAGTCCTCGTAAATTAATTAAACGAGCTGATGGAGTCTTCTTGTGCGAAAATCCGAACCGTGCAAGAGTATGAAATGCAAAAAGAAGAGAGAAATTTTATGAACCTCTATTCTTTTTCTTTGCTTATGTATATCGTAGAGCGATTGAGATTTATAAAAGTTGCATTATAAATAAATTTTTTGTTCTTCGATTAAACGCTCAATCATTTACTTTTCGCTTTCTTCTCCGATGTGACTCGTTGGCTCAAACGTTTGAGCAGCCGTACATGTGTGCAGTTTTCGTTAATCCGATACTGACATACGTTTGCAATAATAACGTCAGGAATAAACAACAAGAAGAAGATATCCGTTCGCATATTTTTCAGAGCTATCGACAATACCGTAGAGCCTCTTTTTCTTTTTCTGTTATTACGGCGAGGAAATAATAGATAATACCTACGCTTCGACGATGAACGTAAAAACAAGCGCGTGAGCAAATAAATTCTCGTACGGTTTTTAAAATATATTTTTGCCGAGATTTCCCATAAGAGGAAATTCGCCTCGTTAAATAATGAAATATCGGAAATTTAATATATACAAAAATACAGAGTAAATTACAATTTGTTCGATATCGAGAAGAAAAACTAACAAAATTTACAACCCAAGATGCGCAACTATGACACGTTTTTCCTCTTCGATAACCGACTCTTTGTATTTCAGTAAGCAAGCTGTATTCGATGGAAAGAAGGCTATTAGAGGCGGCATACCATTCGTTTTCCGTAAGTATAAGCAATGTTACGTATACTAAATATTATTTGATTGTCCCTTTCGTTCGGAGGTATTATTTTTGTCAACAGTTTAAAGTAAAAGACAAAGGAAATTATTGATACAATTTTGAAGGAACAAATTTTAATTTAAAAGAAAAGGCCAATTTGAATATCGCCAATTATTACGACATCTTGGAAAAATTTTAAATGTGAAAAGCTTTTAAAGATGTAGAAACCGAGCGATACCGAGGGTGAGATCTGATATGAACGTTATTTCCGCAGCACAATTCGGAGCGTGGACGTTTGGGCCGCCTCATGGCTTTGCTAGAATCATTCGTTGGAATGTGGAAAAGTCACCGGAACGATTACCCAGCGGGGATATTGAAGCGATATTCTCGATAATGGACAGCGAATTCACGCGATCGCTGTGGAATTCACAATTCAGGTTAACGTACAGGCTAATATTGCGCGAGAAGGAATTGCACTTCAATATCGGCGTCTATAATCCTAGCAGAGAGGACACGTTCAGCTTTAATTTGCTTCTACACACTTATTTCAAAGTGCCCGACGTTAGGAGATGCCAAATCACAGGGCTGCACGGATGCACGTTCGTCGACAAGGTAGCAGGGATTTTCTGCTTTTTATTTCTTTGCAAATTAAAGCCGATAATTAAAATGTAATTTAATCAAAAGTTCTTCCTAGAATTATTACTGAAAGTTTATAAAGCTCACAGAAAAGAGCCGCTTACTCCATTAATAATCCTTCTCGATATCATCGATGAAGAAATAATCCTTTCCTCATTATCGTAAAAATCTATCATTAAATTTCAAATCGATGTTACTTATCTAATCGAGGTGTATATCGAAATGATTATCACAATTCACGTTGCCTCAAAATATTTCATTTTCGCGCACACACAGACTAGGGACAACCAAATCTTTCAAGAAGGCCGCGATGTTGTCACGGTGTGCGAATGGACCGACAGGATCTACCAGAACACGCAGCCGGAGCATATCATCACGAACGTCGTTTCTGGTAGAAAGATGCGCGTGCAAAAGTACAATTTTCCCGATACCGTCGTGTGGAATCCCTGGCAGGAGAAGGCACGCGACATTCCGGATTTCGGCGACGACGAATTTCCCAACATGATATGCGTCGAGAGCGGACACGTCAGTAGTCCGGTTATACTGTTGCCGGGGACGGCCTTTGAAGCGAGCCAGATACTACAGGTACTAAGTAAATTTGATTTATTGCCGGGGATTAATTTTGGATTCTGACTGATATAATACTGCAATTAATGATAATTATATAATTATCGTTATTATATCCCGCTATGTTCAGTCAATAATGTTTAAACTATAAAAGTTATCAGTTTGAATGCTCTTTTTCTCTTATTCGTGAACTGTATAATGTTTGTAATTAATTACATAATTAGAGCTTTCATAATTCGAATCGCCAATATCTTGGCTGAAATCTTAACATTATTGGCTTATCATTTTCACAAAACTAAATTAGTTATATTTTAACGGAATAGTTTAAGAGTAGTTGGCCAAATTAGGTTGAAAGTTTTTCAGGTCAGTATTCCTGTTTTACTATTTATGTAAATTAAGGGCTTTTCGCGTTACATTTTCTGGTTATGATTTAAATTTGCGAAACAAAAATTTCAAACATTTGTATATATAAAACATTTATATATATTTTTGCATAATTTTCTGGTATTAAAATATAACCAGCATTTTTATATATTGCATTTTTGTATATTGTATTTTTTTGTATTATCACATTATATAAATATTATTAAATATTTTCTATATTTTAAATGATTCTCTTTTTGAAATTAGAGTTTTCATTTCAAGACATAAAGATATGAGCTGTGACGATGTGTTAGTTTTGCATAACGCATAAACAGCGTAACATGTAATGGAACAAGTGCAAATATTACGCTATATTTATTCATTAGGTATAAATTAATGCAAATATAAATTCTACTAATGCGTAGAAACTAATAATTATTTCTTTTAATAATTAATTCTTACGATAACGTGAAATATATTGAGATAAAAAGAATATTGCTTGAAACGTGATTTGAGAGATAAGTATCAGCGATTAAAGTCCTTGATTTCATCGAAGGTAATTACGTTGCAAAGTCAAAATTGTAATGTCAAAGTAAAAAATTGAATTTCATAAAGTTGATTTCTTCACGTTTGACCTTGTTTCAGGTGATGTGAGTAGAGAGTGGACCGACGTCACACGTCAGTACCGGAGGCAGTACCAATTCGTTGCTTCCGACGTCCTCATCGTCCGCGGTCTGGCCAGCGGGCGCTGGTTGGCTTTACATGCCGCCACCGCCGCCGCCGCCGCCGCCCCCGCCGCCACCTCCGCCACCCTTGCCGTCGCATCCATCTCATTTACACTCGCATTGCGTTGCCCAAACCTGCACGATATGCTCTTTGAATCTTTAAACTCGCAGCCTTCAAACACGAACGAACTCTTGGAATTTCTTCGCTATCCTCGCTCTTCCCATCAGACGTTTTCTCGAAAGATCTATACGTAAACCACTGTATATGAGTGAAGAACGTATCTTTTCTTTCGACATATTCGTCGAGGAAATGATGATTTGCATAATAAAGGTAATTTGATTAATTTTATTGAAGAATTTCTTTCATCAACTTTTACATTCGCTTGTTTTCACCTTTGTGCTTTATCTGAAAAAATTCAAAATGGTCAATCTCAATGAGAATATGAGGAATCGATCAATCTGTCTCTCTTTGGTTTCCAAACAACAATAATGATAATAAAATGTACAAGATTTATAAATATGTTATTTCTAGCATCATCCTTGCTTTCCGATAAAGATAACGTTATCTCGCTTGCAATGTCTACTTTTTTTATCGAAGATATTGTAAAGCTGCGAGAAGATATTCGTGTAAATATTACGCGAAACAGAATAGTATTCTCTTGTTTGGTTTTCAAAGGACATTGTCCTAAAGAAACGATCGTTTTAGAGTTTCGATTCGTCACAAATATTTACATATACATTCCACATATACCACTATTTAGATGGAAAACGAAAGAGAGATATATATCACGTCTCTTATTTCTGACTCATCACTTTTGAATATTAGTACACAATACATTGTTTATAGGCATATATGGCATAGATAGATTGGCATGTAAGCGACTTTGCTACATTCACGTATGCGATATAAGACTTTCACTATAAATTTCCCAAGTATTGTGATGTAATTATTTGTTAATTTCGAATGATTCCATCGGATTTACTTGCTGTAAGATATATATTTGAAATTTGTAAAAAGCAGGAAATGCACTTTGTGTGATGTATTTTCAGTTATACAGAGATATACGATCTGCAATAAAAGTATCATAGAAATTTTCAAACATACATAGAGACTCACTTTTTGAAAACTTTTTTACTATTATAGTTAATAATTTTAGGAAATATTGAAAAAAGGAAATAATTTCTCAAATACATTTTTAAATTTTGATCAAGTTATATGCATACAAACTGTCAGATGTGATCTTTTTTAAGTAGTATTTCATTTTTTCGACACAAAGTTTCTTATATTATATTCAGTAATTATAATTATATTTTGTAATTATTAATTATATTAATTAATAATTATATATAATTATATATAATTATATATAATTAATAATATATTAATTATATATTATTTTGTAATTAGTAATTATAAATTGATATAAATTTTAATAAATTTTAATAAATTTTCAAGATCTTGGAAACGCGCGCTTGTACACATGCAACATGTACACGAGTTTGTTCAATTTGCAATACATAATTTATCTATAAACAATACAAAATATGGTGCTATTGTTACGAATATAGTATTATAATGATAAGTAGTAATGCACACACAGTAGATAAGCTCGACATTTCTCTGCAATTTCAAATATAATCTTTTTTTTTTAATTTTCTATTCTGAAAATATCGCATTTTGCGATAACATCTTTCCATATGCAAGGAGAAACGTTGCATCGAAATAGATATAAGTAAATATATTTATACCGTAACATATTGATTGCGATATTATTAAAATAATTACATGTGTATACGGAACAAAGTAAATTGTAAAGACTAATGAGCAGAGATTCACGAGGGAAATAACATTTTGCCGCCCATTTCTAAATAATTGTATTATCATTGAGAGCTCGAGACACTATTCGAAGGCTTGATCCGAAACTCGAAGGTTTAAGTGTGATGGCGAGTTTAATAAGTTAGTTGAATTTTATATTGGAATTAATTATAAATTTTTAAGAGAAACAGACATCGAACGTTTTACTCGTTTTATTCGATAATTGAGAAATTGACAAAAGTAAACGAGTATACTTTTTAATAATATATATATTTTATATTAGTAACAAAAAGAATCATTACTCTGAATTAATAAAAATAAATACATTGTAAAATTAAGTGGATAAAAAGAAAAATCGGCAAAATCACGAGTCTATTTTATATATACATATATATTTTTTTTAACCATATAGCCAAAAGCACACGTATGTATTATTCACGGATATACATTCCAAGTGACAATTTTTTACGTTGTATGAATTCCCGATGTCACGTACGTAATATTAAAAATAATATCACATGTAAATTCTCTTCACAATTAGACTATCAAATATTAGTAGTGTATCATTATAATAAAAAAATAAATGCTCAATATATATCACGTTATTCTTCGCATATTATGGACTTGGAGAGCCAAATGAAATAAAAAGAAAAAAAAATACGAGCAAAACGTTCCCGCTTATAGATGTGTTAGAAACGTGAAAATACAGCCTAGTAAATCCGAATATACAATTAATCTAACTATCCGAAATGAAAGAATTGAATTTCGGCATCTTCGCGCTGAGTATCTTACACTCTTATGAGGGTTTCGGTCTTTAGAGGCTAGACAATACGTTCGTCATTTAGTATAGCGTATATTATCTTTTTATCCTCTTTCCCCACAAGTTGTTAGCGATTAAGATTCGGTCTTCCATCTACAATGACGTTTATCGAATCGCATCGTACATCATTCTCTCATTCGACTCAATGTTAATAATCATGAATATTTGTAATTAAAGCGAAATTATGAAAAAAATTCGCGATTAAAATTAGTACGTTAAGAAAGTGTACTCTTTTTTGGGAAAGTGCAATAAAAATGTGGGAAATAATTGTACAATCTCTATCCGTCTTTGCACCTTTCTTACTAGCTCGTATTCTTAATGTCTAATAATCATTATTATGATATATCGTGACGAGCATAAAAGATTGCATTTATCTATTTAGGGTGGAAAATTTAAGAATTATACATGTTAAACTTTGAACAGTTTATTACGAGCGAAAGGAAACGATAGCAAGCATATATGTATCTAGTAGTTGCTCGCTCCTTACACATTTAATTAGATAACGTATTAAATAAGTGTGCGAAAATTTGAATTTACAGATTAGGGAAATTAGTACTACAAATGTTGTATTATTTAATTAATATCCTTATACCTAGAGAAACCAGTCAAAAGCGCATTTTCTTTGACTGAATTTAGATGTAGGTAACGTCGAGTTTTATACACACGGCTATATAACTGTTTTTATGAGCAATATGTAAATAACAAGATAATCGAGTCTAGGTCCTGTGGTATGTCACACAACCGATATGGCTGTATACGGCCGACAATGGAAAAATTCTCTAACGTGAAAAACATGACGATTCCTTTTTGCATTCTTGATAGTCAATCTTTATGTCTTTTATACTTGTGAACCTTTTTAAGGTAACCATTATGCGTGAAATAGTCGTTTTTATCGTAAAAATTTATACACCTTCTCCTTTGAATTATCTCGTCGCCTGCTTCGACTTATCTGGTTGTTCCTGTTCTTTCTTTTGTTGTTTCTCTCTCATTCGTGCCGCGTCACTGTAAACAGAAACGTGTAAATGTAAATCATGTCAGGAGTATTATATTCAAAAATTATGCAATAAACGATACGCATTTCTTTTGTTTACGCTCTGAACATTTACCGTGCCTTACGTGCTTCCAAGGAAAGACCTTTATTACTGTCTTGTTCGGCTGCTGCCTTCTTTACGGTTTTTTTCAAGTTCTTGGCTCTTGCTAATTCACGTTGATTTCCTCCTGCGACATAATCAAACACATCTTTTAAAAAAAAATATCACATTTAACATTTTTAATTTTTGATTTAATTTTCTAGATATTTTTACTTTCTACTCTTGAAGTCGATTAAAAATTTTCATTTCTATTCGTTCCCTATTCAATTCAAATACAGTGCCTAAAGAGCACCATTTGTGCGCACGCGCATGCGTATACAACGCAAGATGACATTTCATCGGCCGAATTAGTAAAATAGTGGCGCAAACGCGCAACGCGCTCGTACATTACTCCAAAATTTATTGAAAGGCAATTGCAACAACATACGAAATCAATCGATTCACGCGATCGTCGAATTCAATCATTCGCGATTATTTGACATTTGAATTTTTATCTCTATTATCTCTTATGAAAAGCATTGCTACTTATGACAAAATGGCGGCGAGTAAAATAGTGTAGTGAGGTATGGGAGCGGATCTAGCACCATATTTACTCGTATATTCGGAGTCGCGTAGTGTCAAAATCGTATGTCTCCCTATCTCAAGATAGATCGCCTTCGTTATTATGTATTCGCAGTAAACGTCGATTTTCGCAACATGTCGTAAAGTGCGTCGAGGTTAAGAGTGGAGCTCGAAAAGTAGATAAATTATCACGTACGAAAAAGTAAAGCTACTCCGATTAGATTAGTATCATTATTATCTTTATGCTCAATGCTCCGTTTCCTCTTCCACTTTGAAGTCGATAATTCTCAATCATTCCTTTTTTAAATTATCGAGATTTAAATAAACATTGCTGAAAAAATATCTTATTGTTATCATCCAAAAATATTGATCAGTTTTTTTTTCCAAAACATCCTACAGAACAAATGTTTTTGAAGAAATTTCTGGAACGCATCGCTCATTACATGTACTCCCTTTTTTGTTTCGAGTCGTTCGAAATTTGTCGAAATTTGCTCGCGCAAACGACAAATGTCGCGATTCATAGTTTCATCTCTCTCTTTCTTTTTCGATGAGCCTGTTATTAACATTAATAACAATGGCAGCCGCGAAAGTTACAAACTCGTTTCGTTATTTTTCACGTCGAATCGTCACGACACAGAGATGGTCCGACAGCGAGAGTTTGGCTCAACTTACGGGTCATGTTTTTCAGTTCTTGATCTCCGATAAACAAGTACTAGAAAATTCAATCGCCCAAATTGGTGCGAAACGCACGGCCAAACGATGCACGCACGGGTCTCTTGCGGACTAATTTCCAAACCAAAATAAATATAGTTCTGCGTCGTCTCCGTAACCCCCACGACGATCGCAGTGATGCCACGTGTTCCTAGCTAGTGACATTTCACGCACCGGGTAACTGTCATTAGACCTTGAAGTAAGATACATGTCAAAGTTAAATTGCTTCGAGTCAGTATATATACTTGATAAAAATAAAATTTTTAATATTGATTTATGTAAAAATTATATAAAATCTTGCAAAGTAAAAGTTTGTACATGCTGTGACTTTTTTTAATGTTCCAAAAAGAATCTTACAAACACATTTAAAAATTTCCAAATCTTATTTATCTCTTTCGTGTTTATCCTAAAGCTTAATATCTATTCTGGATATACATATCTATTAAAAAAGATAATGCAATTTAATTTGTACAAACTCTTGTCAACATTAAACCAATTTAATTTAAATTTATTGATTGGCACGCCAATATTTATCAAACATCTTATTAACAATATAATTAAATTTAGAATATTTAACATGTGGAAAAACATGTTTATATAATTTACAAAAATAGAAAACGTTTTACGTATCTGTGATATATGAGAGAAAAGATTCCAAAAAATAGTAAACTCTCACGAACTACACGACATGCAACCTTCTCCATTTTTACGTGAACAAACAAGCATTGTTTCTAAATTTTTACTCGCTTGTTGATTTAATTGATTTCGTTTTTCAATGTTATCGTTATCATCATCTTTGTTGGGAGACTGAATAGGGGTATTATTGACAGTGGATGCGCTAGATATGGAATCATTATTTCGTAATTTAGATTTGTCCACTGTAAATTGTATAGGATTTGCAGCTGGCTTTGTTCGTAGATAGTACATGCCAGTCTTTAAGCCCTGTAAATGATAATATAATTTTAACAATTTGTATGATTCCATCACTTTGATTAAAAGGATCTTTGATACAATTTAAAAAGTAAATTATCATTTATTCGAGCAATCTATGGCATTGTAAATTTAAAAATGTTGAAATAAAATTGCAGTAATTACAATATATCACTTACGCTTCTCCAACCAAAGAAATGCATCGATGTAAGTTTCTCAGTCGTCGGATCCCCTATGTGAACATTCAAAGATTGCGATTGATCGATAAAAGCTCCACGATCAGCCGCCATTTCGAGAATTACTTTCTGCGGTATCTCCCATACAGTTTTGTAAAGCACTTTCAGATCATCAGGAATACGGTCTATGTTCTGCAAAACATTTTCTTGAAATTACGCTAACAAAAAATTTAAATGTGAGAAACAACAAGAGATAATTAAAATCGTACTTGAACAGATCCAAAACTTGCAAGTATTTCATTCTGCATGTCTTCGTCCCATAAACCTCTAGCAGTTAAGTCTCGCAATAAATGAGGATTGACGATGACGAATTCTCCCGACAATACACGTCTTACATAGATATTACTCGTGTACGGTTCGATGGATTCGTTATTTCCTAAGATTTGTGCCGTCGACGCCGTTGGCATAGGTGCAATCAAAAGCGAATTTCTTACTCCGTGTTTCGCGATTTTCTCTTTCAATTTATCCCAATCCCATAAATTTGTCGGTTTAACATTCCACATGTCATATTGGAGGATCTAACGAGAAACAATATTATAATATAGTTGCCATGCATAGGACAAACATGATTCGTATAGTTATACATTTATATATATAAGCGTGATTAAAATTTTACAAACTTACTCCTTTGCTGACCGGACTACCTTCATATGTTTCATAAGTGCCTTTTTCGGCAGCTAATTCGCAACTTGCTTCCAAGGCACCATAATAAAGAGTTTCGAAAATTTTGATATTGAGTTCTTTTGCCTCTTTGCTCTCGAATGGATATCGCATTAATAAAAAGGCATCCGCTAAACCTTGTATTCCGATACCTAAAGATATATACACTTTTTAAATTTTTAGCTCATTATAATGTAATCAATTGATAATTTAAAAAATCACCTTACCAATAGGTCTATGTTTTTGATTAGATGTTTTGGTTTCTACAATGGGATAAAAATTGACATCGATAACTTTATCCAAATTACGTGTGACAACTTTTGCAATTGTTTTAAGTTTATCAAAATCGAAAGTTTTGTTATTCGTATTAACAAACATATTGACTGCAATAGATGCCAGATTACATACAGCAACTTCTCCAGGACCAGAGTATTGAATAACTTCAGTGCACAAGTTGCTGCATTTGATTGTACCAATGTGCTGATGATTAGACTTTCGATTGCAATGATCTTTATAAAGCATATAAGGAGTTCCAGTCTCTACTTGCGATCTGAGAATGGCAACCCATACAGCCCTAGCCTCTACTTGTTTTTTATAGCGACCTTCCTTTTCATATCTATAAAAACATTTTGAATAAACTTATTTAACTATAATTTATTGCAGAAAGATATATAAATCATAATTTTAGTAAATTGCAGAAAAAAGACAATTGCTAATGTATGCACCTAATATATAGTTCTTTAAATTCATCACCCCAAACATCAGCCAAGCCAGGAGATTCATGTGGACACATCAAGCTCCAATTTTCATTATTATATACACGTTCCATAAAGAGATCTGGTATCCATAGACCATAAAATAAGTCTCTAGCTCGCATGTTTCCATCTCCTGTAAAAAATGCATACAATATGTAGAATATATAAATCAATATTAATCAATGTGAAAAAAGTAGAAAAAAAGACATAATTACCAATGTTCCTCCTAAGCTCTAAAAAGTCAAAAATATCGGCATGCCAAGGCTCTAAATAAATAGCAAATGCTCCTGGTCTCTTATTTCCACCTTGATCAACATAAATAGCCATGTCATTGTATAATTTTAAGACAGAAACTAAGCCGTTAGTTGTATCTGTATTATCTTCCGTGCTTTTTGCACGAATGCAATGTACATTGAGTCCTATTCCACCAGCATATTTACTAATGAGCGCACATTTCTTTAGTGTGCCAAAAATACCTTTTATGCTATCATTGTCGAGCGTCAAAAGGAAGCAACTGTAAAAACATAATTTCTATTAAAATAATTGTATAACATCTGATATATTATCGAAATAATCAAACACTATTACAATTACCTGGACATTTGCTGGTTATTAGTACAGGCGTTAAATAGCGTTGGTGAAGCATGTGTAAAATATCTTTCAGACAAATAATTGTATGTTTCTATAGCTTTGTCAATGTCTGTCTCATGAATACCGACAGCTACTCTCATCAACATATGTTGAGGTCTTTCTACTATCTTGCCATTGATTTTCAACAAATAGCTTCTCTCAAGTGTCTTAAAACCAATATAATTATAACTAAAGTCTCGATCATAAATTATGGCAGAATCTAGTTTTTCCGCATTGTTTTTAATAATGTTATAATATCGCTCGTTGATTATAGGTGTATGTTGATTTGTGACTGAATCCCTGGCATGATATAAGTCATGCATGACCTCTGAAAAATAAAAAGTGAGCATTATATCATTTTATTATATCAAAATGCAAAAATAAACTTGAAAAAATATATCCAAGATATCATACTACTAAAATTTTTTTTAGTCTCTTTATGTAGGTTAGACACATCAATCCTTGCAGCTAATATAGCATAATCGGGATGATTAGTCGCCATGGTAGCTGCAGTTTCAGCTGCAAGATTATCTAATATGACTGTAGTTACTCCAGAATATAAACCGCGTATTACTTGAATTGCGACAGCAGACTGCAAATAATAAATTTAATTACTATAAACAAATTGACATGGCTAAAAATTCATAAAATTTTATTCTTTCTTTTTTATGCAATGTGATTTTTGCAAAGAGATATAAAATATAAACATATAAGTTTATATATCATTTCTTTTCTTAATTATATACATATATATATTTCATTTTTCTGTTTCATTATATTATAGAATTATACAATAGGTACTATATACTTACTGGATCCACATAATTCATATCCAAATTATAACACTGTTTGGCAATCCTTGAAGTGATTTTATCAAAATGAACATCTTCTTTACGTCCATCTAATTGGAATAATAATTTTTAATTAATGTTTTTTTATTTAAACAATTTTGATAAAAATTTTCATTTATATATATCTATCATATCCAATATTAATGTAATATTAATCTAATAATAATTTAGTTTTTACTAAATTATTAATTTTTTTAGCTTGCAATCTATTTTCTAGCTCACACAGACAAATTATATACATATATAAACTTTCTTTACTAATCAGGTAAATATTTAAAAACAATAGTCTAGCAATAATATATAAACAGAATTAGCCTTATTCTTCTAGAAAGATAATTTTTATGAGAGTAAAAAATGCCTCTAGAATTTATAAATAAAGCTTTCTGATACAGCTTCATCTAGCCAATAATCAAACACGATGATTAATCCGTTATTAAACACTTACTACGTTTGATAACATGCATTTTCCCTCGTCCAATTTCCTTTACTGGCATTTTTGAGGGAGAAGGATTATTATTTCCCAGAGAAAGCATCTTCACTTTCGCGCTCAGCTCCATCCTATAATTCAAGATTGACACAAATCCTTTTTTCTACGATTTCAGTTATCACCGATTACAAGACCAATGCAGACCAACATAAACTGACTCTGCCAAGTTTTTTCGTGCATTAAGAATTTTGAGCGCGAAACGGAAAACGGAAAACATATGTTTGTCATGCGCGTTGCGATACATCGATTCAAATAGCGCGCATGCTTCTTCGAGTTATGTTCGAAAATCTACTCATCTGAGTATCGTTTAATTGACCAATAAGGATAAGAGATCCTTCGTTTCCTAGAATTGTACTGGACAAAATTCTTTTTCAACGAGTAGATTTTTGAACATACTTCATATGACGCGTCTGTTCTGTTCGAAGCCGCTATTAATCCCGCGCATTTAATTTTTATCCTTTTAAAACTCATATAATGAGGTATTTAAAATATCTTGTTTTACAGTCTATATAATATATAAGATTCCTATTTCATGTTCATACAGTTATATCGTAAGCATACTTTAAAGACTAATTGTTTAGAGATAAAAAATTTGTTAAATTTATATAGTTTAATTACATAAACATTTTCATATTTTCACGTAAGTATAATTTAACATTTTTTTCAGATAACAAAAAGACATCAAATTATATCGAAATAATTAATATTTTTGATTATTCGAAAAGTCATTATAATATATTAAGCAAAATAATTAATACTATATAAAAAATGATATTACTTCTTCCTTGTAAAATATCATAGAAAAAAATTAATTCGTTACATATTTATGTATATGTATATATAGTGGCATTTGAACCCTGAATAGATTTTTTAATTTCAAGGAACGACATTAATGTTGAGAAAGCGGCGCAAAAGAAAACTCAAGTATTCTAGATGAAACATTAATATATATAATACTGACATTTATAGTAGTTTAACAAACAGCGTTTTAATCTCGTGGATATATTTACACAAAAAATTGTCTCATCGTATCGTTATTCGTAGAAAGGCCAGATATAATCACGTCGTTAGGGAGATTCGATCGAGAGAAAAATAATTCTTAACGCCAATCGTGCGAATCGAGTGTCCGCGGAGCTATCGTACATTCAATATATCTATATCTCGTAATGCGCATCACGATTCGCTAAATAGACATCTCTTATCTATGTACTTACAATACATATATACACGCACTCTAGGCTCGCTCGTCGGACGCGCGCGTACTCTGTATGTACTTTGATAACGCGTTAGGTACACGTAGAAAGCTTGTAAGAATCGAATCATCGCCGATAAGATGTTAATGTTTCGGGATTAAATTCTTGACGGGAATGGCAGCGAGAAATTTGTAGAGAAATACGCGCGTTTCACATTTTTCTTTCTTCTTTAAAGGCAAGTACTCGCCGGTCCGACAACTTGTTACGTTCATTAATCTTTAGACACTCTGAAATTTACTATTTACAAACCCCTCGTGATAACACGCATACACATACGCATCCTAAAAATACGAACATCGCGAAAACACACGAGATCCGAAAGGAAAACATGCCGTGTTGATGAAAAATTCGAAAATGACGCGTAGACATTAAGCAATTACGGCCTGTCTTCCTTAATTGTATGTAATCGTTACTTAATTAATCGCCTGCCTAACGCAGTCTAAGGACGATTTATACCTTTGGTAAGAGACAACAAGACGCGCGATAACATGACAGCTACAAACAGCTAGCGCTTAACAATTCCGAACTGCGCGTGAAAATAAATTTATAAACAAATCATTATTTTCAATACTGGATAAATTACTAATTTATAAATCGGCTGTACTATGTCATGGGGTTGCCTGGTTTTTTTGTAAAAAGTAAAACAGCTATAAAAACTATATAAGAAACATTGTAAAAAATTATTTCGAGCTCTCTCTCCGACATTATAATAATATGACTAGCGCACATTCTATAGATTGAATAAGAAGTCAAAGCTCATGTAAGAAATTAACATAGATATAGGAGATATAGACTATCGTACGAAACGTAGCAAAACAGATAACAAAAGTTTATAACAAAAGAGATAACGATATTATTTATTCGTGTTTCTCTCTTTTTATCAAAAATAAAAAGGACAAATTTATCCCTATTAGAAAAAACGACGAGCTTCGTTAAATAGCTTCATTTTTTTCGTTCGAACGAATATTTTTGTTTACATTATAAATTGGACAGTCTATGGTTTCCATATCTATGAAAATTAACGACTTGAGAATGCAAATATTAATCGATCGCTTAAGTACAAGCTCGGATGAAGCTCTATGTGGAAATAAATTCTGAAATCTATCTGTACGGTACATCGTATTCTTCATTATCCATATTCTCTGTCTCTTCTAAAAATACAGACGGACAAAATCAACAAACTTTTACAAAATCGCCACGATACGTATAAACATTATACAACGCACTATGTACAAACGCATCTTTCAAACTCCAAACCAGCCATTCTAACGCCATTGAGAAGCTATTCATTCCGTCACACGAAAAATATCATTCCTACATTTATATTGTTAAATTCGCGCTTTCAATCTTATGTATAATATTTCATTTTTATTTATACATATCGCACACACTCGCATATGGCGTTATAAAGAAATTGTACATTTAAATAAATAAGGGAAATGTTTAAATAAAAAAAAGAACGAGTATTTTTCTCGACGCAAACTAGTTAAGGGAGAGAGTATTTCCACATGATCCTTTGTACTCGGTGCTACTCATTTTGTTAACACGAGTGCAGAATCTATCAATTTTATACGTCGCCACGCGTATATTCTCTCCTCCTCTCCCTTTTTTCTTATTACTAAAATGTCCCCCGGCGTATATTATAGTACAGAGAAGATATCGCTTGGTCTCGCTTTGTACTTTAATAAAAAGTAGTAAAGACAGTATACAGTTACATTGGTGTTTCTCTTGATAAGATTCTAAATTATTCGTCCCGAGGCTTCGAACGCCTAATGAGACGAGAGGCGTCACTGGTCCAGATCATCTTTGTTGTATCGTTGAGATCTACATGCAACGGCACACGAGAAGAAAGCTGCGATTCTTGCGTAATAATAAAGAGTTGCCACGTGCAACCGCAGTGTTTTTATCCTTTGAAGGATTAATGGAGATTCTTTTGGTAGAATAATAATTGTTTATACACACTCTCTAGAGCTGATTACTCAAATATAAACGTAAATTGCGACAAATGATACAACGCTTTGCACGTACATTCGATACGTATATTGAAAAAAAATTGCAAACATTCTTATCATAAAATTTTATCTATTTCTCATAAGTAGTCGTTTTTCTGAATCAATTTTGATAGTATTTGCATATATATATATATATATATATATATATATATATATATATATATATATACAGGGTGTCCGGAAAACCGCAGTACTTCGGGAAGTGATTCAGGATCCAAAAAGAAGGAAAAAAGCTATACATAAACATAAGTCCGAAAATATGTCGTTTCCGAATTATAGCCACTTTTATGTTAAAAAATCATAATTTATAGTCCTCTTGGCATTCCTCTTTAAAATTTTTTTAAATTTTAAATTGAAATAATTACGATTTTTTTAATATAAAAGTGACTATAACTCGGAAACGACTGATTTCCGGACCTATGTTTATATAGCTTTTTTTTTCTTTTTGGGTCCTCAATCACTTCCCGAAGTACTGCCGGCGATTTTCTAGACACCTTGTATATATTATATTGCAATTTATAACCCAGAAAATTAATATCAGTCATTAAATTATTATTATACGCGTAATTATTGAGAAAATATCGAACATATACAATGCTCGTTGCTAATTCGATGAATGTTTTCCGAGGAAATCGATTATAAATTATTTTTTGCAATACAACGAAGTGACGATGAATACGATTGTTGAATTATGAAAATGTCAAATGCTACGTATCTTGAATCGCTGAAATAGAGTCTTACAATATATATCTCGCGACGCGAGTTTCCGTACAGCTTCGTTGTATAGAAAAGCGCTGATGTATAACGTAACAATGCAGATTTAAATGCAAATCTCAATAGCAAGATTGTTAAAGATGGCAAACTCGTGCGAATGATAGATGGATTAAGAAAATGCAAAGTTATCATACATATAGAAAGCTGATAGAGAAATAAAACAATATTCTACGAGAGTGTAGCTTTCGTTGACTTCCATTTCCGGTAGGCTCGTTATCGCGATGTGGACGGCATTGTACTAAACTGACTGGACATGTTGCAGCAATAACACGGGACGAAAGTCTGCGAGGTTCTGCGAGCGAAATATTTAGCGGTTAAGGAAAGCGGAAATATTAAGCGCCTTTAGCGATAATTTGAATTTGTTAATACTCGATGGGGAGGAAAAGATAAAATCTCTTATTCTGATTAAATTTCTTAAACTAAATTTAACTATGCGTATATTTATCATTCGATTATTTAAAATTCACATACCTCGTTTGCCGTTGCAATTTTCGATTACTTTGCCTTTTACGCGCAACTTTTTGACATTGTTTGCCGGTATCGCAAAGTAATTGTTAAGGCTGCGAACCATCACCCATATCTTCCGTTTGACTAGCATCTATCGAGTCTTCTCGTCTGCCATCTGCACTATGACTGAAATATATCATTTGTCCAATATATATTCGCAGTCTATAATATGTGACGCAGACGCAAAGAAGATCGGATTGCAAACGCTACGGTAATAAAATGTAAGACTTACTCTATGTGAACGGAAGAATCAATCTCCGATGACATACGATAATGTTCTTGAATAAGTCCGACGGTAGACGGCCTTGGTTTCAACGCAGAGTCCGATTGGCGTTTGCCTTTTCCTATAGCTGTCTCTTTATTCGGTTCTTGCACCTTCATACATATTTCTACCATAGCTTCTAGACAATTTACAAACAATTCAGCACTCTCGGGCGTACAGCTGGACTGTAAATATATTGTCAATTTAAAATACTGAATCTACATAATCAACATTATGATAGAAATCATTATGAAATTGCGACATTAGGAAAATTAATTCTGACTTACGTTCGTATAAGGTCCCGCGAACCTCCAAAGACCGCGGAAACCGCAGCTTTGCAAATAATGCTGCAAATGATGTTGTTGGCTCGTATCTTCACTGG